AATTTGGTTAAGATCTGATATAAAACATCTTTTCAAAAGTTCTGACTATGTACTATTGCCCTCTATTGTCAACAGTAGAGCTAACTTGCAGAAGACTACTTTTACTTTTCACTGTGGGATATATGGTTTTCTTGTGAGTCTGTCTACCGGCCCTGTTGTCCCCGTCCAGTAGTGAGGCTTATTGGCTGCTTTTGGTTTATTGAATCCTTGCTGCCCCTCTTACTATTCTAATAGCTCCCTCTGTCAAGGTGTTCAGAGCAACCTTAGGCATCTACTTACAGGTGAGACTGAGTCAGGGACTTCAATAGTGGTGGTTCTGTTTAATAATACTACTTTAAAAACTTTTACATGAGACAGAAAATAGACTCTTAAGATTGGCTTTTGAGCTCTGGCTGGTGTGGCTCAGTTGGTTGGGCATTGTCCTATGCCCTGAAAGGTTACCAGTTAGATTCCCAGTCAGGGCAATGTTTTGCTCTCACGTGGATGTCTCTTTCCCTCTTCCTTCATCTATCTCTAAAAAAAAAAAAAAAAAAAAAAAAAAAATCAATAAAAGTGTTAAAAAAAAAAAAAAGGACAAAAATAATAAATTAATAAATAAATAAGTTCTATCTTCAAGGCCAAAAAAAAGAGAGAGAGAGAGAGAGAGAGAGAGAGAGAGAGGCCCATATAGTGTATAATGAGATCTTATGGATGATATGGTGTTAAATGATTTAATGATTTTAAGAAAATAGCAGGTTGACTTCTGGATTTTTTTTCTCACTTGCTTGTAGAACTAATGTAGTATTTAAATTTGTCTCTCCTCCATGCTATTTGAAAATTTCTTGTAAAATGCAAATACCATCCTGAGCACTGATGAGTTTCTAATGATGATTAATTAATGGAGGCAAATGTCTAGATATTTTTTCTCCATGTTAATGAGTCAGTGTATCTGTCCTATGACATTTTAGAAATTGTATATGTTGTTTTGTGAAGTTAAATGAAAAGACCCATTGCATCTACTTTCTAACCCTTGAACAAAGACTGAATACTTTAAGAGGAACTCAATAAATTAGTATATTACAAATGAAATTTTGGTCTCATTTGTAAACTATTAGATGTAGATGGACTTTAGTTAAAATAATACTGGAATTAAACACTTATGAAAAAACATCATGGAGTGCTGAAAAGGGTTGTATTAGAGAAATGAATGTACAGGAGAGACTCTGGTAAGGGAGGGTATTATCCAAGCATACAGGATATAATTCAATATCACTTGGCACACAAACCATCAGGTAATCCTAAACTCACATGGGAAAGGTCAACCAATAGATACCCATGCTGGGATGACATAGATGTTGAGATTATCTGACAAATTCTTTAAAGCACTGATTATAAAAAATGCTACAATAAATAAGCAGAAATGCTTTTTAAAAAATTAAAAGTATATATTTTTTCAATTACAGGTTACATTCAATATTATTTTGTATTAGTTTCAGTTGTACAGCATAGTAGTTAGACAATTATGGGAATGCTTTTGAAATGAAAGATGGAAAGTCTCAGCAAAGTCATAAAAAACATACAAGACAGCCTAATGGAAATTTAGAACTGAAAAAGAAAATACAGTAACCAAAATAAAAACACACACACACAGACTGTTGTTGACAGAGAAAGTATCAGTGAAATTAATTCAATCATCAGGATTTTTTTAGTCTGAAATGCAGAATTAAAAGAGATTGGAAGATAGAAATGAATAGTGCTCATCATATGTCGGAAAGTAACAGATCATCTCAATCCTGTAAGGAGAGGTGAAAGTGCAGTAGAGGGAAAAAATTCTGAAGAAATTATAGATGAAAAAATTCCCAAATTTGGTTAAAGACATAAATCTGCAGACTCGATAACCTCATACAAATCCACACCAGATACTTCATAATCAAACTGCTGAAAAATAAATACAATCTTGAAAGTTATCAGAAATGATTGTAGGGGAGCAATAATTTGAATAACTATATATTTCTCATCAGAAACATGGAGACAGAAGAAAGTTGAGAACACATTCATGTAACTTTCATTACAGTACTAGATGCTTGGGGCATGAATCTGTGCACTGTTGGGGTCCCTTGGTCTGGCCTGCACCCTCTTGCAATCCAGGACCCCTCAGGAGATGTCGGATAGCTGGTTTCAGCTAGATCCCTGTAGGCCTGATTGAGGCAGGAGGGAGCCCGACCCTGTGCATTGAGTGTCTGTCCCCTGGTGATCAGTGTGCATCATAGCAACCGATTGACCGGTTGGCTGTTCAGTCATTTGGTCACTTAGGCTTTTATAGATATAAATTTTGTTATAGTTCTACTTCATTATTGTTGCTATAATCTCTTGCTATGCCTAATTTATAAATGAAACTTTACCAATGGTATGTATATATACACCAAGAAACAGTATATATATATGTTTGGTATATCTGTGGTTTAAGGCATCCATTGGATGTCTTGGAACATATACCCAGCAGATATGGGGCACGGGAGAAGATGCATTGGCAGTTGTGCACAATACCTTGGCCACTTATGCAATGGAATAAGATATTAACTGAAAAATGTGAACTTATTAGTTAATACTTACAGATTTAATACCAACCTGTAGACTTCAAGGCCTGTTCCAGTTTGAGGTTTCTCTCTGTTAAGTCACACAGAGCTATAGGACACTCAGATGCTGTATATAAATGAAGAGTTAAACAGTTTCAATTAGAGAGTATATTTTAAAATATTTTTCTTTTTTGGGGGAGGATGTATCCTAATTGTTTAATTATCAAAATATTTTATCATGTGCCACAAGTGTCCTTTTAGGAATATTTTCAAAAGCTAGAAGGTACTGTGAAAATGAAAACTTAAGGTTTAACATTAGTCATCAAGTTGACAGGTCAGGTAGGATTTAATGTTAATTCCAATATTTTTTCTAATTTATCCTTAAGTCTTTTCAGGGAAGAGAACAAAGACTAGATTCTGTGTTAGAGTTTTTATGATTCTGGGAAGTAACATGATTTTATAGTTCTCACTAGTGCTTTTGTTTTATCTTAACCTCTAAAAATTTCTAAGACGTGCTGTATTAGTAGAATCACAGATTAAGAATTCTGAAGGCGTTTATTTTTTGTTTTGATTTCATCATTAACCTCAAGGAGGATGTTAAAGACATTGCTTTGAGAAACAATGAGGAGTAATCATGTTATGTTTGGAAAGAGTTTTGTGCTTCTTGAAAAAAAGTTTTAAGTGTAACATAAATTTTTTTCTCTATTAGTTGGGCAATAAATTGAAGAGGTTCAGTTTATTTTAATCTTGTTCCTATGGCTACATTCTTTTTCATTTTGGCCTTTCAGATGTATGGCACATATATAGTCATTGCTGTTATCTTTTTTTGATGAAGACCTTAAGTACATTAACATTCCCTGTTTAGATTGTCAGGGTATATTTGTGGAATTATTAATAAAATTCACATAGGATGCTTCAACCTGTATCTAATGAACAACCCAAGATGTAAACAGTCATAAGTAGAAGGTATCCATGTTAATTTTAAAAGGAATTCAGGGATAGAAATGGGATTATTTATTACTCAAGATGAATATTCCATTATTACACATAACTACTACATATTTGGTAAAACTTTGAAATTTGAAAAGAAGCCTTAGTGGGACAAAGTTGAAAGTATTATTTATCCAACTCTGAAATATTAAACCATAAGGGACAGTTTAAAGTTAAGTTGGGTTATGTTTTGTGTAGACAAAAGGAATCTTATTTACTGAATATATGTCACTATGACATCAAAAGTAGTTACCCTGTGATTTATTGGGAATTACTTCTAAAGAGGCACTCTACATAACTTTATACATACAATTCATTTAATCATCAAAATCCTATCTTTACTATTCCCATATAATTAAAAAAATTAATCATAAAAGGCATTTGAAAATCTGTCTGAATTTTTGTGAGAGGCATTTGAAAATCTGTCTGAATTTTTGCTAGGACATGACACAGTCCAAATTTCTCTAAACATTTACTATAATATTCTTGATAGGTGGGAGGTAGTTAGTAATAAGAGTATTACGTACTAACTTGTGATGATATTATTTTAAATGGTCTGTCCTTCCCAACTATGCTTGGAAGAATCATTAACTATTTCCAGATCAATCATTTTTTAAGGCATGTTGCCTAGAGTTGCCCATATGAGAAGCAGCTGGGTCAAATGTTAATCAAACTAACTTTGATTTGGGATTTCTGTTTAAAATTACAATTTTCCCCTTCATCCATGACGTAATACCATGCACTGTCTCCTTGACTGGCAGCAATTTGGTTATTTCTTAGTATGTCAGACCTGCCTACTGTAGAGCAAGACTGCACATCTTTTGGGAGAGTGCATTGAGGATTTACAACAGTGAATATCACTATACCATATAGCTTTTGTTTTAAAAATAAGATTATGTCAAATAAGCCTTCCAAATTTGAGGAAAATTCATTTGGCATTTTCACTTGTGGTAATGGTTAAGTGGTAAGAACTTATTTGTTTTAAGTTAAATTAAGAGGAATGCCAAGGGGAATCCTGTACTTAATCAGGGCACTAGGTGGCACAGTGAGCTACACACCGGAAATAGAGCCTAGCGAAGATCTGCCTGGGAGATGGGATTTTTCAGAACCTGTAAGACTTTATAAACGTGGAAAGATTGAATCGACAAGCCAAATGGCTATTACATCCAGTTACTCCCATTCATATGTATTCTCGAATTTCTTATTTCTGTTGCTTATACATGTCCTGGTTAGCTACCCACAAAGTGTAAAATAGATACATTTATTGATCTGGGGATTAAAAGAGTCAAGGACATCTCAGTGTGTAGTCCAAGTCACTCCACTGAGCCCGAAGTTAGCACCTTCCTCTTCTTGTTCAGTATCTATGATCAGCAGGGAAGCATAGGTTTCAGTATACTAGGACTTTGTTCAGTATTATATTTACAACTTATTTCTTTTTAAAATTTTGTATCTCAGAAAGAATTTCACAACACATTTGCATAGTTATGGACACCAAAGAAGATGAAGAGCATGTAGGTCGTCATCTCGAAGAAATGCTAAAAAATGAATTAAATGTAAGTATTCAGATATCGAATTTAATGCTTAAAGTGGTGAATGTACATCTCTTGTTTTTTTGAAATGATCAACTTCCTAGTTAAGCTCATATCTAATCTTACAACTAAGAAAATGGGAGAAATAGTAGTAAATATGAGGCCATCTATAGGAATTATTTGCAACTTGTACCAGTAAGGACTTCCATTATATATTTTTATGATAACATTGTAAAATGTTTTGTTTTCCAAACTGAAATTATTCAATTTTAATTTACCTGTTTTCATTAAAATATGTCACCAGCATCAGAACTTATGATGAGCATATGATGACAGGTTAACAACATCTAGGATAGAATTGCAGTGAAGAACTGAAGGAAAAAGTTCACTTTTCCTTTCTCCTGATGGGCTCTCTTATCAGACTACCTGTGCTCAGGTGTCAGCTTTATTACCTAATTTCTTTTTTAAAAAATATATTTAATGATTTTTTACAGAGAGGAAGGGAGAGAGATAGAGAGCTAGAAACGTCGATGAGAGAGAAACATTGACCAGCTGCCTCTTGCACACCCCCTACCGGGGATGTGCCCACAACCAATGTACATGCCCTTGACCGGAATCGAACCTGGGACCTTTCAGTCCTCAGACCGACGCTCTACTGCTGAGCCAAACTGGTTTTCAGCTGTTACCTAATTTCTTTGTCTTAAGTAGAAAATGTTAATAATATCTACATGGTAAACTTGTTGGAATTTTTAAATAAAATAAACAGATGTAAAGTGCTAAGAAATGCCTCTGGTTTATGGTGAATTTTCAGTGAGTGTGCATTGTAACAATTAAACTTTCACAGATGAGATTAGCAGATAATACTGATTCCCGAACTTCCATCCTGTACTAGATGCATGAACTGTTAGAAATGTAGATTTCTGGAATATGTAAAATTTTAATGAACTGTGGTCTGGGATAAGCTCTGGAATCTTAAGTTTTTAACAAGCTTCCTCAGGTGGTTTGATAGCAAACAGTGCCAGATTCTACCAGTAGCATTGAGAGTGACAACTTAAAGCTGAGAAGATAATAGCCATCTTAGCTGTCTCTTAAGCATAAAGGTCACACTACAATCTCCCATGTTGCTTTTATCCGATGACTTTCTGGGAATTTCCCTTCATCCTTGAAAATTTGAGCACCTATTCTCTGCTTTCTGTCTCAACTCTACCTGTTAAGAATCTGTTCGGTGCCCCAGTTTCACTGCTGTACCTTGCAGAATATTTAATAGTAGATAACTGGCCACCACTGCCTGACCCACTGAAGCACCCTTTTGCCTCAAAAAATGGTCTATTACTCTTGTATAATCTCATTCATTCGTTATAAAACTGATACAACAACCAGCAACATGGGGCTCTGAAAGAATATTATCAGGATTCTGGCTATCAACCAACCTAAATTTCTAGAGTTGTTTTTGTGTGTGTGTGTGTGTGTGTGTGTGTGTGTGTGTGTGTGTGTGTTAGTTGTTTTTTTTAAATTGATTTTTAGAGTGAGAAAGGGAGAGAGAAACATTTGATGTGAGAGTGAGACATTGATCAACTGCCTCCTGCATACTCCACACCTGGGATGAAGGCTGCAACCTGGTTTGTGTGCCCTGACCAGAAATCCAACCAGCAACCTTTTGGTGCACTGGACAATGCCAAACCAAAACATAGACTCACAGAGACTACTATAAAGACTAGAGCTTAGCCCTAACTGGTTTGGCTCAGTGGATAGAGCGTTGGCCTGAGGACTGAAGGATCCCAGGTTTGATTCTGGTCAAGGGCATGTACCTTGGTTGTGGGCAGTAAGGGGTGTGCAGGAGGCAGCTGATTGATGTTTCTCGCTCATCGATGTTTCTAGCTCTCTATCTCTCACATTTCCTCCCTGTAAAAATATATATATAAAAATACTGTGCTTATATTTTGTCCAAGGAACAAAATGAAGTGATAGAAAACGTAAGCTACAATTAAGCATGATCCAATTTACTTCTATAAAATGATTTTGTTGGGTGCTATTCCTTAAAAGTAACATTGTGTGTGTAGATGACATATTATGGAATTGTACACCTGAAACCAGTGTCATCCCAATAAATTCAATAAAAATAAAATTTCACAGAAGACAAGTAAAATTGTATAGAAGAAAACATGTAGGATTTAAATATAACATTTTAGATATAACATTACCTCTAAAACCTCATGTTTAGTTCAACCTAATTTTCTTTTGTATAATAAAATAAATGAATGCTGATCGATATTTCTTCCAAACAGGGACTTCAGGGACTTTTGGTATATTTTGCTTATCCCCCCCCCCCCCCTTCCTGTTTCTTGGAGCACATGATTTGATTATTGTTTTGTGTAACCACAAATGACAAGCAGGAAATGTCTGGAAAATCATGTGTTTTCCTGGGTGTCAGGCATGCTTTGGTTTTTGAGGCTGACTGTGTGACCTAGTTTATTTTTCCTGGTGGCCTCAAGGTTGTGTCCAGTGTTTGGGTCTCTGCTTTTGCTTACAGACCTAACTGAATTTGGTGTATGACATATTTATCAAACAAAACATCAAAAACAGCCAATGAAGAAAGACAGAAATAAAAAGAAACAGAACAAACGAAGCCATTGCAGCATTGTGAGGCCCATTCGAAATAGGGCTCTTCTGTGCTTATTTTGACACATATTATGACAATATTTTAGTTTTGAGATGTAGGATTTTTTATTTTTTGAAGCTGAACACTGTAAAACAGTGTAAGAACAGTGAAATAACATTGTAAACTCTCCTGTTGGGCCTCTGACTGAACAATTCCAACAAAGTTAATTCAGTTAGAGAATGCGGTTTTGGTGTATGTACAAGACTACAGAAATTAGCTGAAGTCCATCCAATTAAATCCATGCAGTTTGTTTGGGATGTTAGCCAGATTTCTTGATCAGTTTTTCAGAGGTAAAAAAAGGAGGTTCAAAATTATTGGACCACCTAGTTGCTCGGGATGGTGTTAATTATGTTCATGCTGTATTTAATAATATTAAGAGTCTATAATTCTAATTGGTTGTCATGATTTTAGAATATGATTATTAATGAGGGAATAGGGATAATTTTCCCTAAATATTACTTCCTCTATTTTTTAATATACCTAACATAGCTTCACTTTTTATATCTGCCTATATCTTTCAGAAACAGTGACATTTGTAATACTACTCTTTTTAAAGGAACCAGATGGTTAACTTTTAAAAATGATATTAGTCAATTGGGGGGAAAAAGGAGGCATATGTAAAACTTTAGAATATGATATTCTATATCTTTGTCCACTTAGGAATGAGGTCTTTGTTCACAAGTTTTAGACAGCTGTTATACTGAGTTAAAAACAAACAATTAAACCAAAAGAATAGCTAACATCTAGCTTTGGGTATATACTTATAAAAACCAGGTCTTCTAATTCAGGAAATTAATTTATTTTACATACATGGTAAGTATATATTTTGAAGGGAAATCCTTATAAAAACTTGAAAAAAATACTTTTTGGCATTTAAATTATAGTTTCTAACCTTCAACAGTTGATTTTTATGGAAATATATATATATATATATATACACTAATTTCTTATGCTATTGAAATTGAGATATACAATTTTAAAGCTTATTCACTGTGATTTTATTTTATTGATTTTTTTGTACCAAATATAGAAAACCATGTTTTTAAAATATTTTATGCTTATTAATTAATATATTTCCTCTAATAATTAAGTTTGAAGATTTATGTCATTTCAACTATTTGCATGCAGTATAACTCTATAACACCAAAAAAGTAGATTTTTTTTCTTTTGTTCTGGTGGCTTTAGCTAAATAATAGCTCCAGCATTCTGCTTCATTGAATGCCGCCTCCGTTTGTCCATGTCATGTTTTATTTAAAGCTTAGTTCCACATTACTCTTTCCATAACATGGCGCCCATTTTTCTGGTTCTTGGACTTTCTACTTACCAGCAATGGTGTGATTCTGCATATCCTGCTTTTAATCATAATTATGTACATTTCTCTCACTATCTCTTTTATCATGATCCCTTACACAGTGCTGATTCCTTGCACATATGGTGGGAGCCAGATAAATAGTTGTGGTTAAGGGTGATATGATAACGGATAAGAAAGTCTCTGGAATATCTCTGCACCTGGACATCAGCCAAATGCATTTCTGGAGATAAAGAGGTAGCCGCCAGGCGTCCATCAATCATATGAACAGTTGAGAAGCTTAGAACACAAAGTACACCCGTGAAGTCCTAATTGATTTCCCAACCCTAAGAAAACTGTTTTCGAAAAGGGAGGGAAGAGAAGGGGAAAGAGCAGATGTTGCAGAGGTCAGGCGAACTGCACTTAGCAGCAGTGGTCTGTTGGTGGGCAGCAGCCTTGTGTCAGAAAGGAGAGAGGCTCTCAGCGGTGTTACAGTGGGCGGAGAGCTAGGCCCATAAACAACGCTTCAAGATCTACTCTTTAGAATCTGTGATAAGATTCTCTATCAAGGTATGAATCTGCCTTGCTTTATCTAGAAATGTACTGTGTGAAAAACATCCTGAGGTGTACACATGTTCACATTCTTCTGAAATAAGACACATGATTATGTTTTTGTTATTTTTGCTCAAGATGTAATTTCTTCTTACTACTTAAAAATATGTTTGAACTATAGGCTAAACAATATTTATCCAATAGGCTACTAATATACCACTCATAATAGAAAGTTGTGTGAGATAAAAAAATTATTTTTTATATAAAAACAGCAATTATAGTTCTTACTTGAGTGGAAAATACATTCGTGAAAAATGATTTGCTTGCTCTGTAACACTTGAAGAATGATAATGGTAGTATTTGGATTGTACATCTATGGGGGTGGCATTAAATATTCTTTAAAAACGAGTCGAGTGCATAGTGTCTGTGATTCTATGTGATGGAACTCTTCAGTGAGCTGCTCATACATGTTTATAGTTGACTTTAGTTTTCTTGTTTATTTTCTACCTAATTTAAAATTGGAGA